TAAAAAGCTTAAAAGAAGATTTAATGCAAATTATGTGTATGTTGTGTTGTGACGCTGGTGTCACTTTGTGGAACCTTGAATGGAAGGTTCGCTCACCAAGGCGGCGTGAAATGACGACTCTCGTTGTTATAATAATTTAAGCTTTATTCTCGAGTAAGAATTAAGATTTGTTCGAAGCGGGCGGTAGGCGATGCTCATGGTCCGAATTGATTCGTTCGGTTAGACGCGTGCACATGCATGTAACTCGCACTTGGCACAACTTTAAATAATTTCTCGCAGCCATTAGAAAGAATTCGTATTGTGGGTAGCAATGAATCTCGCCAGAGACTCATGTAATTCTCGTGCACTGAATGCCCTCGCAATCGGCGTAGATCGATAACATTACGGGACAAAATACAGCATTGATGCGCGATGAAACGTCGGTGTAATTCGCTCTGAATATTCGGGATAAGATGCGTTGAGTACATATATTGATAGATGATTGTAATCGAGAAGCGATCTGAACTCTCGCACGCGAAACGTGTGTACGATAATCAACTTTCCGAGTGTCGCGCAAGGGGGCTCGCGTGCCATCTCAGATAGATAGCGTGATTAAAACAGGAGCGAGATATACTCATGTTTTGAACGAAATGTCGGCAGCAGACGTGATTGAACAGAGACGGCTCGGTGCCTATGATTCTGAACAATATTTAAGAAGTTTTAACTATCGGTCGGACATCTTGCGTAATGCTAATGCCGGCGATTCTGTAACTTTCAAGCCTCATAATTTGAAAAGTATTTAATGAAAAAATATTTTATTATAGTGTTTTGAAAAGCTCTTCAAATAAATTATAAAACTATGTAATAAAAAGAGGGGGATCCTGTTTAAAAAATTCATCGTGACCTTCACATGACCTTGCAGACTCCACCCAATATTAACCTTTTATCATCAGTTACGTATATTTTTTGAAGTCCTACAACTTTGCTTTTATATATTTTTCACTAGAATTGATCGTTTTCGAGATATTTTAGCCTTTCCAGACTTTCTGAAAACCCTGTGTAATTATATATAAATATGTAAATTATATATGTATATGTATATGGAAGGGCAATTTTCAGGACACTTTCTAAATTTATGATTTTCGTGCATAATAATGCCGCAAATGTTTGGAAACGCTTCTTCGATTACAAAAGTCAGTATTTTTGAAGATATATTAAAATTTATTTAGAACGGCAGTTTTCAATAACATTTTTAACTAAAACGACCATATCTTTATTTAACGTTTGCAATCTTTACATTTTACATTTATAAGTAATTTTTTTTCAATTTTGTGCCCTAGAAAAAAGAAACTAATAAATTATATAAAATTTTGGCACAAGTCTAAAACTGCGTATCAATTAACCTAATTATATTTTAATAAAAAGGCAGCTTTCAGGCAATACATTTTCACGATAAAAAGAAACGAATAATTCATTTTACTGATTTATTAATCGTATATGAAAGAATACGGCATCTGCTAATGTATATATTACTAAAATGCAGTATTAAATAGAAGCAGAATGAAATTCTGTGTTTTTTATATAAAAGTTCTGAAATCCACTTCGTTAAAAATTAAATCATATACAGGACCAATTTTCATGTCTTGCATTCTTTCGTACATCTTAATAAAAAATTATGATAAGTTCCAATAACTACAGTTTGAAGATATGACTAAGGGATAATTAAAACTAGGTTTACGATTCTTAAAAAAAAATTTCAGAATGTTCTAAAACAGTATTCTGTTTTTAGTTGTCCTTTCAGTTTTTTGCTTCAGATTTGATCATCATGTCGTTCATGATCGAAAATTTTATTATCAGTATATGACAGAGTGAAAAATATAATCATTTTAGCAAACAAGAAGAATTGGTATTGGTAAAATTCTGTTTTAAAAAATTACAAAAATATTGAGATCAATGTTTAAACATTTCGGTATTCTCGGAAAACGATCTGAAAATTGCCATTCTACTGCTGTATGTATACGTATAGACCTGAAAATTATTATTTAAACTAGACGACATCATGATTTTTGCATACTATAATAGAATTTTTATAATAAGAGTTAAAACAAACTTGTCATATACAGCCAAATTAACATTAATAGGCACTAATTTTATAATATTTAGATTGGATACTACTGTTAGATGCATTTAAATATACAATTATGTTAATATATATGATGTATGTCTTCAAAGATATGAAATATAAGATTAAATATTTATTGATATTAAAGTGACACTGCTTTCGATTATAATAATATATGTAGAAGGGCAGTTTTCGGATCAATTTTTGACATGAATTGAGGCAGTTTCGAGGCTTTCAAGTTTTTAAATTCTGGAAACTACATATGTTTTGCAGCAATTTCAGGAACTGTCTTTAAAATGATTGTAAATAATAATGTTATTTATAAGATAAGCTTTATATATATTGTATATATTTATATACAGTTTAATTACGAGACTAATTATTTGCCAAACCTTATATGCATAATGTAAATATACAGTTTAGACATGTTTGCATATCAACGGCAATTCGGAACTTAACAAATTTGATGTACTAAGAGACTGTATATTTACTTTATATAAAATTTGTCAAGTAATTAGTATCATAACTAAACTATTTATAAGCATATACAACATATATATAGCTTATCTGTAATAACATCTATACACATTTAGTATAAAAATATTTTTATCTGTTTTAAGGACTTTATACAGAAATAAAATAACGGTTATTTGCAGGACAGTCCCTGAATCTACGATAAACATATATGATTTTTAAGATCGACCTGAAAACTACCAGAACTCCTCGAAACTGCCGAGTCATACCGAAAACCGCCCTTCTACATACATATAACTATATGCAATTATATATAAAATAATTTTTCCCAGGTGGGGAGGCTAAATGAACATCCAGTTAGTCCCCCAATATCTTAAAATTCATTCTAAGGAATCTCCGATGAGAGCATAATTAGGAATTCTTTATGAACTCGTAGTTATACCCCAATTATACGAGTCAATGACAGATTCAAACATGACTAAATTTCAAGTAAATATATCGCTATGTAAAATCTAAAAAAATAATAAAACGAAGTATTTTATATACTTATAATATTAAATCAAAGAATAAATTAATTTAAGAGAAAAAAAGGAAACTTCCGTATCACGTAATAAATAAGAAAAATTAGATCGTGGCGACATCGCAGTTTTATAAGCAAATGAATATAGGCACAAGTTATCTGTCAAGATATTTATACAAAAGAAAAAAACGTTCGCACAAATGTGTTATAAAGGAAAATATATCAAAAATATAATTTTAGCAAAAAAAAAGTGTAAAGCGGCTCTCACGAAGAAACGACAAGAATGCGAAAGACAATCTTCTTGTCGGTTCTCGAAAGTGCAACATTACCATATCTAATAGATGTCTTCAATTCTCGAGAAAATGTATAAAATTAAGATTTTTTATTGACCCAACTTTAATATCATGTGATAAATATTTGTGATGTTATTACATGAGTTTCTTCACGAATTTAACTATTTAAGACTCGTTTTTCATTAACTTTTTGAATATGATTTCGAAGCTATATGAAAATTCATGTCGCATCACAGCTAAAAATAATTATACTGCAATAATAGATATAGAAACATTTACGATGTTTGATCGGTTATATGTATATCAGAAACGGGATGGTAATTCCAATTCATCTTTTACAGGCATATGTATTAATGTCTAAATTATTTGAGACGAAAATTTCAAGACATTCTTGAATAATACATTTTGGGTATAACTACCTTAAATTAATATAGTTGCGATTTTTGAGTTTTATCCCTTACCTTCAAAACAACATCAAAACTAGTCTAAAAGGAAATCCTTAGAAAATAGTATTGAATCTATAATACCTTTAAGGCATATTGTTCCAGTATTAATGCATTACAAAAACATACAATATAAAAATATATATTTTTTTTTAGCTTTAAGCCTTTAGCAGTAGTACCATCTTGCTTCAACACTCAAAATAGAACTATATTTGAAAATAAAAAAATTAATGATTTTTCATGACGGAGAATTATCTGATTTATGAATTCTTTATTATTATTATAGAATAATTTTTATAATTTGACATTTCATTATAATTTATTGAATAACATGATGACAGTAATTTACAATATGTTAATAATATGTTATTTAATATATTATTTATCTAATAAAATTGTTAGATCGATAATCTGGATAATCTTTTAATTTCACCTCTTACATTCGACACTATTAATTTATCATGTAAAGTAGCACAATTTTATTTTTTATATTTACTATTAATTCTTTAACTAATGAAAACTGTATTAATCGAAACGTTTTTTAAAGTCATTTTAAATAATAAAAAAATAATTATTCTAGCCCAATTTGCTTGTTTTCTGGTCGTCTAAATTTAATATGTTTGTAATCCAAATCAACGAGCTTAGTTTCTAGTCTTTTTTATTAAATATAGCGTTTAGGTATTTTAATATATATTAATCTTACAAATGCATGAATGGATATGAAATTATTTGAATTTAAGATAATTATACCAAAACGCTAAAAATGGACTAAAAACTTCTTCATACCTTTAATACACAGAATGTAAAACGCACTATAAGCTTCATTTCAAAAAGTAACTTTATGTACAAAAAATATAATCTAAAATAATTAGAAAAAATTTTTTTTATTTTTGATAATATATATATATATATATATATATATATAATATATAAAACACTAAAGTTTGTGAACTATCGCTTGCTAATAGAATCAGTCGTTGCTTGTATTTACTCGTTATAATATTAACATTTTGCATTATTAATTCATAATGTGATATTTTATTTTAGGATACATAAATATATGTACAATATACATTTCTAGAATATATAGATATATACAATAAAATATTTGTTATATTTTCGGTACAAGATACGTGCGGGCGGATTGTCAGTGTGATTGCAATTTTTAGCAGCATCAACTCGGCTTTCGACGAGCTTCGGGTCCATGTGCCAACCTTTCCTTACGAAAAGCGACTGTCAAAGATTGATACCTTGCGCCTGGCCATAGCATACATTGCTCTCTTGCGCGAGGTTCTAGCAGCCAGGCTTGATCCCTTAACATACGTCGAGAGGTGTCTTAGGGGTGAAATAAATGGCGAACGAGCTGAATGGAACACGAGCGGTACGTTTATTTTTACAATCATCTAAATATTTTAAATACATTATAACATATTAAAAATTGTAAGTATAAAAGTTATAAACAACCCATGTACAGTTCTATAACTGGGCCAACGATGGGCCAACGTCGGATACGATCTTCCGAATGTCGGCTATACTGACTATAACATCGCGTCAGTATAATATCTAAATTATAAGATCGGCCCAAAGTCGAATGCTAGTGTTGAGTTGATATTGGTCACCAACGTCGGCCCAGTATTAGTTGTAACGTCGGATCGATGTCGGTATAATAATCCAAATGATAAGATCGAACCAACATTAAAAACCTGTGTCTAGCCGACGCTGATCATCGACATTGGCTCAACGTTGAATATTAATATCGAGTCAACACAATTAGTGCAATATAAGGTAAAAAAAGTAATTATTTTTTAATTAAAGATGTTTCATATCCAAGATGTTTATAAGTGTATGGTGAGATTTTACCTGAAATTAGATATTTAAATTAATTTTGAAAAACACACTTATCTTGAAATATTCGAACCTAGGACCTTTGTATCAAGAATCTTCTGCCTTACGTGCTACACCATTTTTTCAACTGATAAATTATGTTACTCATTATCTATTGAGATTTGCTGAATCTTACCCGATGTTGAACGTTACGCCGACGTTGGCAATATCACAGCAAATAGATTGTCCTTAATCGAACACAGCGCGACGTCGGCCCAGACTATATCAGCCGATTCTTATCTAATGCCAACTTTAGGTTATGGTCAGGCCAATATTGAGCCAACGTTAGCAGTATAATGGTAATCAGATGTGACGCTAACGTCGGATCAAAGTGCACCAAAGACATTAAGTGCTTTTATTCAATGTTCATAGGTAGCTTATTTTCACTTACACATATCTTTTATCACTTTTTACGATTATTTACTAAATGTCAGGGGGAATAAACATAGTTTTCGTCCATTTTTACAAATGTTTTAAAATAATCTCATCAGTTTATTTTATCTAAATTGTCTTTATTTATAAATGGTACGTAATAAAAATTAACGTATCATTTCTCGCTTCTGACGTCACGATTCAATATGACTGTGATAACTATTCAAGAACTTTAACCGATTCTTATTTGATGACAATTCACGGATCAACGTCGCAACGTTGCATCGTAATTGATATGATAACATGTTATCGATATACTGCCAACGTTGGCCAAAGTACATTGACTCGACGGTGGCCCAAAATTGTCTTCAGATAAAAGTCGGTAGCCTGAGACTATGTTACGCAGTGATTGACGTGACCTACTGCTAATGTTGGCCGATGGTGGCCCAAAGTATTTTTCAGCTGAGTCGGCTAACATAGCTTGAGCCGAGTGGCATTCACTTGCACACAGTACAATTGGACACGTTGTAAATGCACACATTGCAATTGAATATATAATAATGCACACGGTTCAATTGCACACCGTTCAGTTACACACCGTTCAGATTGCCCATGCAAAAATGCGCGCAGTTTTTACGCGCACATAAAGATACGAATAGTTCATTTGCACACCGATCAATTGCATACACGAAAGTTGCGCACACCGTTTAAATTAAATGGTGTGTACAACTTTCGTGTGCGCAACTTTTATGTGTGCAACTGTACGATGTGCAAATAAACTGTGTCCAATTGTACGATGTGCAATTGAACAGTGTGCAATTGAACTGTGTGCATTTGCAATGTGTCCAATTGTACTGTGTGCGCCGCTCTTGTCTGAGTCAACGTCGCGCCGTGATTGTCATATGACAACCAGTTGCCGACATACTGTTAACATTGGCCAAGAGTAGTTATTAAGTAAGAAGTTTAATATAGCTTGATCAGGCGTCTTACCGTGATTGTTATGACAACCAGTTGCTAACGTACTGCCAATGTTAGCCCAACGTTGACCCGACGATAGCCTAAAACTGTCTTCAGATAAGAGTCAGCTAACATAGCTTGGGCCGACGTCATGCCATGATTGGTATGGCAACCGGTTGCCGAGATACTGCCAACGTTGCCTCGAAAGTCGTCATTAAGTAAAAGTTGATTAGCATAACTTGGCTCGCTGTCGCGCCATGATTGACATAACAATCGGTTACCAACATGTTGCCAACATTGGCTCAATGCTGGTCCGATAGCAGCCTAAGGTTGTTTTCAGACAAGAATCAACTAATATAACATGAACCGACGCCGCACCGTGGTTGACGTGACAACCGGTTGCCGACATATTGCCAATATTAACCCGAGAGTCATTAAGTAAGAGTTTATTAATATAGTCTGGGCCACCGACAAGATACTATTAAAGGCACTTATGGAAATTCGCGTGTTAAAATTTAAGTGATTAAAAGTAATAAACTAGTATTACGGTACTAATTTCATTATTTATTAGTTTTGTAGACATGTATATATGTTTAAAACTTAATAATACTCTCGATTTTTATTTTAAACTGTGATTTTAATGATATCATCCGAGTATCATCCGATTATCAATAGAGATGATAACTGCAGAGAAAAAATTGTAATTTTTCGACAATATATAAGATATTATATCATTAAAAGTACTTATTTATAGCTTTTATATAATAAAAAATCACGAATTTAATAACGTATCAAAATATTTATGTTATAATAATTGTAAATTTTTAATTGTCGTCGGTAATGTTATCATTCTTCATTTATCCTCGGGCCTTCCGAGCTCTATTGATAGTCACGAAAATTTGCCCAGAGTTCATCGGTATCTGGGCCGACGTTGCGCCGTGATTGGAGTGACAACCAATTGCCAACATAATGCTAACGTTGATCCAATGATGGCCCAAAGTTGTCATCAGATAAGAATCGACTAACGTAGCCAACATTGCACTGTTGTTCGATCAATGACAGTCATTTTGCTGTGATATTACTAATGTCGATACAATGTTGGGCAAGAGTCGGCAAACCTTACCTTCTAGATGTCACTTATCATTTTTCACTAACCAGCAAAAGTTGTCTTATTTATAAAATTGATTGTTTCATAAAATAATAAAAAATATTTGTTATTGATTTTTATAAAGTTATAATTGAAAATTTATTCGTTAATTAAACGTTTTTAATTTAAAAAGTATCACACACAAATTTTTGTATAACAATAACATTCTAATTAAATATCTGAGTTATAAGAACTTGTTATTTCTTCATGCAATTTACTAGTCTGTAGACTACCGTTATGCAAAATACAGATTGCACAGCTTTTATATATACGAAGCAAATATTGTCACTACATGGAGCGCTATTGGACTATCAAGAGAAAGTTCGCAACTGTGAACCGATCTAATCCGGAATCGATTTGATTCTCCATGAGATATGTTGTTAAACACGAAAATCTAAGAGACAGGTATTTTTTTTATACGTGCGCTAACTCATATTTAAGAAGTGAAACCCCTTTAAAAAAAATGGTGTTTTTCTTTCAAGGCGAATATCGTCGGAAATATAAAAGATAGAAAAAAATTTTTTAAACAAAAGTTGTACGGTTTCAAGAATACTTTAAAATTATGATTAAAAAATTTTTTTAATTTTTTTGTTTAACAAAATACCCTCATTACCCATAATTTTCTTAAATTTTCAAATTTTTTTTACCAAATTGAAGATTATTTTTCTGCGAATTCAATTATGTGTAATAAAGTTGTATTAAAATCATTTCCGAGAATTAATTATTAACGCTTCCGTATATACGTAAATGCTCATATGCGTAAATAATTGTCGTCGGAACAGTAAAATATATGAAAATTTGAAAAGATGTCTTAAATAAAATTTGTATATTTTTCTATATGCTATGTATTTTTAAATGCAATAATTTTTAAAAAATATATTTTTTAAAGATTCAATCTTATACAATAATTTTATTATAAAAGAATGGATTTGGAATAAAATTATTTTTAATTTTTATTCATAGAAGAAATTAATACTAATCAAAATCGTAAGACTCGTAAACTCGTAACTTGTTCTCGTAAAACTCGTAAGAATTTATAACCAATATTCTAATTTTATGCGTATGTATCATAAGACGTAAAATTATTCACAAATATTTACGATTTTTTGTAAATCTTATGGCTAATAAAAAGTTGTCTGTAAAAATATCGTATAATAGTTTAAACACTTCAAAATTCTTATAAATTTTACGAGAATATGTTACGAACCTTACAATTTTGTTTAGAATTTAGGCATAAATGTCAAAGAAATAATAATAGGGTTAATATATTTTAAAAATATTATATATTTAGAAAATCTAAATACATATACATACACATATATATTATATATTGTATATAAAATGTAAATACATATATAATAAAGCATATAGAAAGTTATACAAATTTTACTTGAGACATGTTTTCAAGTTTTCATATATTTTACTGTTTCGACAATTACTTACGAATATGAGCATAGATTACGTATATACGCGTTAATAATTAATTCTCGAAAATGATATATTATAATATAATTTACTACACACTTTATTATACATGGTTGAATTCGTAAAAAAATAATTTTTAATTTGGTAAAAGAAAAATTTGAAAATTTAAGAAAATTATGGGTGATTGTAGTATTTTGTTAAATAAAAAAATAAACAAAAATTTTTTTTATCTATAACTTTAAAATACTCTTGAAACCAACTTTTGTTTAAAAAATTTTTTTCTATCTTTTATACTTCCGACGATATTCGCCTTGAAAAAAAATACCATTTTTTTTTTAAGTGGTTTCACCCCTTAAACATGAGTTAGCGGACGTATAAAAAAACGTGTCTCTTAGATTTTCGTGTTTAACATATCTCATGGAGAATCGATTGCGGACAGTTGTGAATCTTCCCTTGTAAAAAATGATAAAGTTCTCAATTTTGAAATTTTTTGTCATTTTTAGCATAAACTTCACCTCATAAACATGTTAATGCGTATACTTTAATCTTGGATTGGAAAAGGATTTTCAAATCAGTAAGAGAACAAAATAATAACT